TAATGCAATTTTTCAGCACATGATAGGCTGCACCTGGGATCCAGTTCCAAGAATATAACATTCTGTATGCATTGATGATGCCAAATCATCACCAGATGAAAAAAGAATGCTAGAAGGGTCGTCTAAGTCATGTCCAAATTTAGTCCAAATTAGTCATTTTCTCCAGGAAATTGTAAGGTTTGGCTCCAATTGTGATGCCAGTCTGCCATCTATTGGTCTGTACAGAAATTTGGTCTCCAGTTTTCACAAGCTGAGCCAATAAAATGCAAGATCACCTCATTAAAATTCACTGATGTCCCTAATAATGAACTCATCCAAGTCTTGGATGATACAAGAATACATACTGAATGAACCAATCAGACACAAGATCACCTCATTAAAATTCACTGATGTCCCTCATAATAAACTCATCCAAGTCTTGGATGATACAAGCATACACACTGAATGAACCAATTAGACACTAGATCACCTCATTAATATGTAGATGTCAGTCATAAACTCACCAAAGAAATTTATGATATAAGCTTGTATTCTAATTCTGATATCATATAAGCTTTATTTAAACAAAGTTGGCAATATTCTTGACTGAAACCAGTTTTACTGAAGAGAAACAGTGGCCAACCTGAATTAGCACTTGTTCCGATTGGCTGACTGACTAGAACATCCACCGAACAGCTAGAAATATTCACTTGCCAATTAGAGTTCAGCCAATGAAATTTCAACACTTGGAGAGACTATATTGTCAACGTAACTCAGCCCTTTTACTGTGAATTAATAACTTACCACATTGTAATGATCTTTATACTCCGAATGACCCAAACCAAATATGCTATAATTCAGGTTTTTTAGAAGTGTTTTCTGCACTCTGAAGTCAGTAGATGTCTCCTGTAGCCATTTGCAGAGCCAAGCAGCACTCTCCGATGGTGTACCATCTGTATAGGTTGACAGGATGAAAACACACACAATGTCACTGTTTGCCTAAAATTGAGGAAATAAAATGAAACGGATATAAATAGCAAATACTTTTGTTACTAAATTAGTTAGGACTGTAAAAATGAAAAATGTACTGCTCACACAGAATTATGACTTTTACAATACTGTACAAGTTCTTAATTTTTCCTTCCAATAATATTCTGTAAATATAAATTTAAAAAATATAATTATAATTATAATAATATGTATAATACATAATTTTCAAATTTTTCTAGGTTGATGAATGGCAATTTGTTTACCCATCATGAGTTTAATAATTTAGAATGCATGAAAAGCACTGTTACAGATTACAGATCATAAAATATAGTATTTTGTTACGTATAATAATTTATAGTGTGCTTGGCCTTAGTCCATGACTGAGAGTTGAGTTTTGGTCCACTTGACTAAAACACTACTTTGGGATTACTGAGAATTCATTTTCTGGATTGCATCATTGCAGTACATCAAGACATTAAAAATGTTGGTACATCAAGAAATTCAAGACTATTGGAATTAATGCAGAATATTCTAAACTTTCTGGACTTGTTAGAGAACATTTATAATTATTTGGGATTTAATTCACAATGACTAAAAATGGTACAGAACAATTATAAGATTAAAAGTTTTGAAAATCAACATTATTCAACATAGGTATATGCTGTCAAGTCAAAAAAATACAGACATTGAATATGATCTCTATCCACCAACTGAATCATTAATATCATTCCTGGAATCAAGAAATCTAAACATCAATGTCATTCCTGGAATCAGCCAATCTAATCATCAATGTCATTCCTGGAATCAGCCAATCTAATCATCAATGTCATTCCTGGAATCAGCCAATCTAATCATCAATGTCATTCCTAGAATCAACCAATCAGAATGTAGTATTTCCTAGAAGAAAAAAAAAAAATCTAATCATTAACATCATTCCTTGAATCGAACAATCTAATCATTAATGGCAATCCTGGAATCAACCACTGATAATCAAGAAATATGATCTCTATTTTCAAATCTAATCATCAATGTGATTCCTGAAATCAACCAATCTAATCATCAATGTCATTCCTGGAATCAACCAATCTAATTATCAATGTCATTCCTGGAATCAACCAATCCAATTATCAATGTCATTCCTGGAATCAACCAATCAGATTGAAGTAATTCCTAGAAACAAAAACAATCTAATCATTAACATCATTCCTTGAATCAAACAATCTAATCATCAATGTCATTCCTGGACTCAACCAAAGGTAATAAAGATCTGGTAATTTAAAGGTTATTCACTTTTTAATTACTCATGTTATCCCCTTCCACTTAATCATATATCAGTATCTGTTCAATCAAAAAAATCAATAACTCTTCAGTTACCCCTACACCTCCTTAATATCTTACCCCCAATCACAGGAATATAGAATAGGCTCAGTTCACTCTCCTGCACTTGTAAGTGGTGACAGATGGAGCCAGCGAAGCAACAGTAGCTCAGTGGTTAACATGCCAGACTCATGACTGAAGAGGCTGCATGTTCAAATCATACCACTGGATCAGCATAGGCTAACAACTATATGGTGTACCCATGTGCAAAGCATTTAATCCAGTTGCTTCAATACTAAATAACTGACTTGTGTTCAAGTTCCTAAAAAAAAACACTAAACACAGCCAAACAATGAACTTAATAACAAATAAAAACACAGATTTCTTGATTTTTGATAAACTTTGAAAGGCAAGTTTACGTTTGTTTTCCCTATTTACTTCATTTTATATAGTCTAAAAAAAAAAGATATTTAGATTTTCAACAGGAATATAGAAATGGTTTGTATTAACCATAAATTTTCAACAATTTAAAAGAGAGTTTTAACCTTTATATCAAAATCATGGATTGTGATTGATGCATCCCCACAAGAATTTGCACAACACAGAAGTGACCAAGAAGTTTTATCTTTCTCCAGAATGTTTATTATAGGCAAGATCCACTTGATAATTGTGTAATGTGGCATGTATGCAAAAAAAAAAAAATATACTGTATGCTTTACATGGACAGATTATTTCATCAGTATGAAATATGACTACCCAATTCCTCCAGCTCATCAGGTAAAACATTTTATCATGTGATTAGGTTATTTGTTTTAAAATGTTAACTTGTCATGAAATTAATATAGATGAAGAGAAACAATCTTTTCTTACATCATCTGCCAGCTCATCATCTGGATCATAGTCTTTAAGATCAATCACCTCAACTTCATAGCCTCTTCGGGTTCCTTCATCGCCCAGAGTATAAGCAAACCCCTGAAAATTAGGGAAAATCTATCTGCAAACATCAGGCAATTAAAATACTGTATGTACTCAAACTACAAACTTCACAGACCCAAATTTGCCATTACATTGTGCCACCAGATCTGGATATATGCAGTTTGTTAGAAGTACTAAGTAAAAAAAAACAACAGTATAGACCCGAGTTAAAAGTAAGTTTAGAAAGCAGTGTGTATAATGTTATTTTAAAAAACATGTTTAGCTATAAATTTCATTGTAGCGGGCAACATTACTGTATGCACTCACTAATAATGAGTCCAACTGCAAACTGCATTAACCCAGATCAGACATCACATTATGCTCCAGCAAATCTGGATCTGTATAGTTTATTTGGAGTAATAGAATCAGCAGAACAAACAACACAGACCCTGATCTGCCAGTGAATTAGATAATAGCAGATCAGGATCTATGATTTTTGCAACTGGACTTAACTTAGAAGTACAAATGGTACTAATCATTAATGTTATTGCTTAATCCATTAATTGATAAGAGGCCAATAAAATGTGCTCTCACAGAGAAAATACCTTACTTTAACCAGCTTCTAAAGACAATAAAATCTACAACAGTATTGATTACCCAAATATGATTAACTGTAGCTTGTTTCATCTTAAGGCTCCACTCCCACCAAAACATAAAAACAAATATTGGCCCAACTAGTTTGGACAATTTAAGTTGTAATGTCAATGGCTATCCTCATCACCAGCACATTCCAGTGTAATGCCCTCTTGCTCAAACAGTACACCTCACTTTAAGGTACTCCACTATAAGGCATCCACTTTTATAAGGCAAGCACAGTGATGGATCTCACTCCATTATTTCAGAGTAATATATCATGCATTGTTGTTGTTGGGCTTAGTGCCATTTTTCAGCACAAGATAGGCCATACATGGTGGAGGAAGTACCCTGGAAAATCCCAGAAAGAACCAATGACACACAAGACGCTACTGGCAAGCTTTCTCATGTACCCACGTCAGCTATGCCCCAGACTTAAACCTACACAGACAGTGGTGAGATGGCAGTGATCCAGAATGGTGAGTGTGCTTTAGACCACTTGGCCACTCAGGGCTCCTAATATGTCATGTATAAAATACCATATACCATTTTTGTGGCTCCCATTAATAGTGTTAATGTGAGGCAATATTGTAATACCATAGTATTTTCTTGTTCTTTCAAACTGAGAAAAACCGTGAGGTGATATTACTTGTTAGGGGACATGCATGACAATTTAAAAGGTCTACACATACAGGATAACTGGAATCATAAAGTTTCAAGGTACATTAGAACAAAGTTTCCTGTAAGTGCCATATACTGCATTTCTGCCATTTTTGTTGATGGAGAAACTTTTGCCAATTAGCATCTCAGAGTATGATTGAAATAAACAAAAACCATCATAATTTATCGTCTTAAATATTACATGCTTACAGTTCAATTGTCATGAAAAAAAAACTAACTAAATCTTGGAATAAATCACAAAAGTTATGTCTCTTAAACAAAAAAAAGTGCTAAATGGTAACAAAATTAAATAAAAGACTTAACCCCATTGTTGGTGAAATACAATGCCTAATTGGTAAAATATCACAAATTACAATAGTAAAATCCTCAAAAAACTGTAAGAAAACAACACCAAAGTGACATAATTCACCTTGTGATGTGGTAACATGACAATGAACATAATTTGCTATTTTTTGCTCAAATTTTCAAATGTATGTTAGGACAGTTACCGTGGCACAGTGGTTAGAACTTCTGCCTTGGATACAGGAGGTCGCGGGTTCAATGCCCCCCCCCCGTCATATCAAAAACTCATAAAAATGGTACCAACAGCTGCTTCACTAGGTTCTCAGCATTCAGAGGTTAGTGTTAGGACTGGTCGGACTGATGTCAGGATAATGTGACTGGGTGGGACATCATGCTACATGTATCTGCAGTATGATGCCCCAGTGCTAGACATTACTATAAACTGCCACACTGCCGACTTCGTAGCGATATGATGCAAAAATTGTTAAAACTGTTAAAAATCCTCTCACACACAAATGTGTTAGAATGTGGACAACAGTCATGTTTTGGGGGATCTGGATCTGGGGACACTGATGGTGTTTTGACTGACAAATAAGCACATCCAAATGCTTCTGTAACATATTCTTAAAAACATCTGGTAGAAATACTAGGTTTAGCATCATATAAAACAGACTGTGTTGATTAGTTTTGAAAATCAATATCAGTAAAAAATGGAAATGTAAAAATGTTTCCCTATATTTGCCCATATAAAGACCTTATGATTACTGTAAATTGTCAAATATGTTTTACTGGAATGCCTCAGGGAGAATCATGACATTACATTGGCATTGATAGTCTGATAGCATTTCAAAGTAACATCATCAAGAATGGCTACAATCTAATTACAAACTGTTTGTTTTTTGTACCTACAAGATGTGGCCTCTCACAGTTGTAAATTACCAATGTCAATTATATCTGATCACATCCAAAGATATCTAACCTTAGTCAAGCAGAAAAAAGGGAAAAAAGGGAAAGTAAGACAAAATACCTTTGACTTTCCTGTTTGTGTTCCAAAGAAAATCTTCAACTTCTTTCTATTGGTCTTGTCCCATATCAGTTTTGGTTTCTCCACCTGTTTTATGGCCTGATCCGACTCCTTTACCTCTTCTGTCTTGATCTCCTTATTCTCTTGAACTTGAGCCTCAATAAATGCCTTCTGCAGAGAATAATATCATCTTCAAACTTTGTTCCCTAAAACTGCCATCTAGATAGATCAAAAAATTCAAATGGATTGACCAACTAATAGATAATGGATTGAGGGATTGATGACTGAATGTAATAGAATCAATTTATCTCAGCAATACTACTATAATTTTGAGTACAATACAAAATATATTTGCTGTATATACTTATAAGTCTAACTGAACTACAAAATGCAGAACCAGATCTGCTAATGCATAATGCACTGGCAGATCTGGGACTATGGGTAATAATCAGAAAAAAACAAATCAGGGTCTATGTATGCTTGAACTCATACTTGACTTACAAGTTTATATGGTACAAAGTCTTGCTGAGTTGCATAACATTACAGTGGAGGTTACATTATTATTGCATACAAAATTTATCTTTATAAAGATTATTCCAGAACTGTTCTCTCACTGTCTTATCCAGTTTAAAGCAGAAGCTGTACTTGAGGTCCATCACTCACAAATGACCTTTTATCAATCTTTGATAAATTGTGTTGCTTAATATTTCTTTTGTTTTGCAATCATATGTGACAAAGTCCCATTCATTCTAAAATGTAAACTTTTTTCAATTCTACCCATAAAGCAGTAATGACCCAGAACATTTTGACAGAAATGTAGGTGTTTTGAATGGACCACATTTCAACACCACTGGTGTGTATACAACTGTTGGTCACATGCATGTTAATTCAAATCCAGCCATAAATATAAATAAATAAATTTTAATAATTAAAACTTTTATTTTCACTGACCCAAATAATATAAGATGCATGTCAACAACAAATATATATTTTCTTTTATTTTAGGCTGCACTCTCTTGTGGAATCCAGAGTAGACAATCCTTGTATTTAATACTGAATAATGAAGCTAGCCATTTTTGGCTTTTATTTCAGCTGGCACTCAAATCCTTAATGATATGATTACTTCATGTTTAACAAAACAGATGAAAGACTGCAATCAAAACAATACAAGTGACAATGTTCCAACGTTGACTTTTGCTCCCATGTTACTTAGTGGACTGTCATGGAATCATAATATATTGGCCACTGGGTAAAAACTGTACACAGGAACTTTGCTATTACTAACTTTGTTGTAACAAAAATTTGCATATAACATGGAAACACCATGGCTCCCAATTCATTGTTTTAGATGTTTCGGGTGATCTTTATTCACCACAGTTTTTTTTATCACTATATATTTAATTGGCATTAGTTACCCACCTCCCAATCCTAATACCCACAGAATTTGTGATCATTATTGAAGAACTACAGATCAGTACATAATGCAATCATTGGTATGTACTACAACTACCATTACATGTACCATGTTAAAGATGTTTATTTCCCATGTAGTAATTCTTACACTTCAAATATGATGTTACTCTGACCAAACTTTCATATTACATAAAATATGCTATTTCATTCTGAAGCTTCCACCTGTTTCAAAAAGCATTAATAAAGTCTATAAAAATTTCAATTATTCTTGCTATTACTTGTAACAAATGTAACACAGGCTCTATCCATTCAGTGTATATTGTACCTTTGGCTGTATCCTTCCCCTACCCTGGTAGAAAATCCATATCAGACAGATAGTGGCTAGAAGTACTGTCCATACTGGAAGCTGGATGTACTCCGACACAGATGCTAACAGCAATCGTTCTAACATAATCTGAAACAGTTACAAATAAAATACACAAGTTAATGAACAAGGGCTGGGAAAACTGACAAATTTTCACTTTGCCTAAAATCAGGACTTTCCAAATAAAAGTACACTTTTTCCAACAATTTTCTCCTCCTAAAATCAGTACATTCTATATAACTGCCATGTACAGTAGTCCTATATGAAGGTTACTATTAACAGAAGTCTCAGAAATGCTTAATCACACATATTTGGATGCAAATTATTTATCTGGGAGTCCTCCATATACATGCAGGAGTCCTCCATATACATGCAGGAGTCCTCCATATACATACAGGAGTCCTCCATATACATGCAGGAGTCCTCCATATACATGCAGGAGTTCTCTATATGCATGCAATTGCTGGATGACAAATTCAAAAACTTGCCAATCCTGCTTCAAGCACCTGCTGAGTGGGAAAATGTGTTGATCAACTGATCATCTAGCTGTGCTGACATTTACAATGATAAAATAATGTTCGTGAAAGACCTCCAGATGTACACATCATTGACTAGCTGCTGTGTGGTGGAAAAATGTGCTGATAGTTACAATGACTGAATTCTGAGGCAGAAAGACCCAGTGATTTACATGTGTATAATAATACATCAAATTAACAACTTTAGCTTTCATTATTATGTTCATTTCCAAGTGTAGCTGAATAAGTAGTGCATGTGACCTCAAAATCAATACATGTAAGTTTGACAAAATGCTGTTTGCAAATATGGCTAAGTATTTTGGAGTTAATGGACAAAGATTGTAATGTGATTTAGCTGAGTTGCTAAAACTGATAGTTTGCATGGAACACTAGCCAGATGTAAAAAAGTGTGTGATGCCTAACTTAGTGCTGGGAATAAGACCTTTGTCCTGGCATAATTCACTTTCACTCTAATGGACAAACAAGAACTATATGTCAGTGGGTTAAAGAATTTAGAAAATTAAACTCAATGACAACCACTGGTTCTACTCATCTGGAAATTTTGCCCAATATGCTTCTGGTAGGAGCTGAAACTTTTGCTAGTGGCACTCCTTTTTCCCAAAATAGACTCCTAGTTTTAACATCCTAGTGAGACCTCTGTATTAAGGCAGGACTGATGGTACTGACCCATGGCTCACAATGACCTTGACCATGACCTTTTCAACTCTAACAACAGATTCCTTTTCTGCCCCAAAGGCAAAACAAATGTAAAATTTTACTGAAAGAAAATGGACCAGGTATAGAAATCCAGCTGTTTTTATTTGGGTCAATATGAAACCTTTCATCTGCAACAAATTTCCACCCCATATCAACATTGAACCATCTTTAAAGTTTTGTCCTATTATGTGTGTGTAATTTAAGTTACTTTACAGAAATGAAAGCCAAGAACCTTCCCCCAAGAAAAAAGAGGCAGCTGACCGAGTATAGTTTGGGTTTGTATAGAATCCATGACCACTGGACTATGAGTCTGACACTCTATGAAATAAGCAACCATGACTCACATCTTATAAATGACTTTTATTAAATTGTTTATCTTCATTATAAGCATTCTGGCAGAAATGACATCATAATGACACTATGTAGTAAGAATTAAAACAGCACAAAACAGTGCAGAAATTATACCCCAAATACCAAAAACTGCATAATTATCAGTTATTGTATTGCACTGTAAAGTGCAGTTGTAATAAGCTTTTAATAGCTAGATTATCAATAAGCATCTCATTGCTGCAAAATTCACTTAGTATGCACTTGAATATGGTCATTGATCTAGAACTATCATACTGAGATTTGCTTATATGAAAATGAATGGCAGATTTTGCTACATTCATGGCAAATTAAATGTGAGAAAGTTGAAAGCCAGAACATTTTTAAAGTGGTATGCATTTCAATTTAGGGGGAAATTTCTGCAATCATGCTTCCTAGAGAAAAACTGGTGGGCATGTAGAAATGTGTCCCCAGTACAGTTCTTCATCCGATTGGCTACACCCAGGGTATAACTGAGGGAAGCAGGAGTCATGAAAGATGGGAGTATGTGACATTATATTCCAAATATACTGTGGATTGGTAAAGACGTTGCAGAAATGCAAGTGATGAAAGAAAAAAACAAAAACAAATGCAGAACCCATGTACATGAGTAATACTGTGAGAAGGGGAGTGACTTTGTATGTCTTGCAACTTATTTCTCTACTTAAAAGTCCAACTTTCTGCCTAAAATGACCTCTACAGTTAGTAAATTTTAGTTCTGATGCACACATGACACCTTGTCACCTTACAATGCATAGCAATGTTTCATTATAATTATCTGTACAAGTACCTATTGAAAGAAAGACACCGCATATACATCAAGGTGCTTTCTATTTCTTAGGCAGTAACCGTAATATTATCAACATCTAATACATTCAGTAT